AGGGTGTTACACTTCGATTCTATATTTTCATCTAAAATCACTTCGGTCATGTTTGAAAACGTAAGTAACGCATAAGGAAAAGATTCAGAATACCTCATTTGGTTCAATTGGGCTGAAATCCTATGAATTCAAAGTATATTCCTGAATACCCCTGATTGTTTGGGTAATGGAATCACTCGCAGTAAATCTGAATTTAGAATTATTATGTATAAAAATTCCTGAACGTTTTCCTGATGCACATAGAAACTTAGTGGAATTCTAAAGTATCAATCTGAAATGTCTGATTAGATCGGTTAGAAATCGATTCTCTTCAATAAGATCTTATTACTGGAATCCGATCAAATTGCACAAGATCATGTTATCCATATTGATAACTACAAAATGCATCTGAAAAATATTTGGATTCTCTAGTGTGTTCCTTATATTTTGAAAAATTGTTTTATTGTTTTAACATGTGGTACACCGAAATTATTTGGAGATACAAATGCAACTATTCCATGCTAAATTTAACCCCTAAGATCATTCTCGGGTAGGCCCTGCGGCCCTAAGATGTATTCTTAGGTAGGCCCCACGGCCCCGAAATCTATCTTGGGTAGGCTCTCAGGCCCTAAGATGTTCCCTTAGGTTAACTCTTTGTAAGATGATTTTAAAATACGAGTTTAAAAAGCTCCACTTATGGGATTTTACTGAACTATCATTTGATTAGTGTACCTATTATGGTTTTATCGTACTGATAGAACACACTAGATATCATATTCGACCTCATGAAAACGTGACTGTATGAAAGGTTTCTTATAAACTGAGATTCATGGATTCTACTCGATGAACTACTAATGGAACCCCATATTATTCCGCAACTGGTATACGTTTGATTCAATAAGGAAATTATTGCTTCCCATTTATCTACATGTCATGTAGCATCATCTGGTAGTTCTGTATTACTGAGCTTTCCGAAGCTCACTCTATTACTCATCATTGCAGGTTAAAAGAATTATACGAGTACAGCTATCAACATCAATAAGGGAGTTCTTCCGGCGTTGCTTGCAGAGTATGGTACATGTGATTAGGGGGCATGTGAATTGTATTTTGTTTTATATTTGAGTTTGAAAAACCTATTTTATTTCTGAATAATAATAAATCATTTATGATTTTACATGTTTTAAGAAAAATTTTAAATTTTCCGCTATTTTTACAGTGGGTCGCTCCGGTGGCCCTAATGTGACACTCCAGATCGGATCGGGTTATCCGCATCGGTCTGAGGGGCTTACAAAAAATCATATTTTAAGGACATGTGATGCAATTAACTCTCGAAGAAAATAACTTATATTTAGATCATCTTTAAAGTAATAAATTTTAGGCATGGATAAAATAATACCAACCAATTTTTAAAGATCGAATGTAAAACCATCAATTTAGCATGGAATAGTTGCATTTGTAATAATAGATTTTTTTCGCATAGATATATTTGTTACAGTTTTTAGCTGAATAACTAATCATTCGGGGTTAAATTATTAAATATTTATGTTTTGCATTAGTTTAATATTTAGATAATAAAATATTTTGTCAATATTATTTTATGATGTCTTTAATATTTTTTAAACATATATAAATATCTAACTTATAATGTAAATTTAATTAAAAATATTTAATTTGAAATTAATTCAAGTTTAAATCTTATTTTTAATACGAGAATTTGACTTACAAACCTAAAATAATAAAGTTTTTATAAGTTCCTTAAATTTGATTTAATAATGGACATGTTAAAATTAAAAATTATCTTATTTCCAGATTCTCCCATAATTAAGAATAATTATATTTAAAGATAATTTTCATCTCTAAACATTTTTTAATAGTTTAAACAATTAACTTAATCACTAAAAATCAACTTAAATTTTTATTATATATTATGATAAAAACAAATATGACATTTACTCGTGTAAATTTATTTTGTAAACGTTATTTAATATATTAGTTATATGTTAAATATAATATTTTTATAAAATTTAGTTTGTGTAGTGATAATAATTTTCAGATAATATTTTTAATTTAATATTGAGGGATTGATTTGTTAAAAAAGAAAATATATCAAATAAATAATTTAATAATCTGTATTTTTTGTATGATAATTTTACTTCTCGTTAAATAATATAAGATTTTTAGTAATGTGTTAGATTATACTAAATTCTAAATATCTTATTTCTATAATAAATTTACATCTCGTATACCAAACATATCCTAGAAAATAACTTATATTTAGATCCCGCTTCTTCTAGTAAACCGAAAATCATGTTGAAAATTCAAGAGATGGAGAATGAATAGGTGTCATTATTTAAATCGACAATCAAAGTCGTTATTAAGAAATTAAAGCAATTTGTGTGAAATTTATAAATAATTGAAAAAATTTGGACAAAATGATGACAACTGCTTACCATTTCTGACTATCCATCCATACCATCACCGCACCGCTGCTTCCATACTTATCTCTTTCATAAGCGAATTCTAGAATTTTCTTTTTCTCAATAGAAGACTTTGGAATCTTTATTCTTTATTTATTGAATATAATATATTTTTGTCGTTGAAAATGTCATATACACGACGTCCGTACATTTGTGTAAACAAATTTATAATTGGAAAGTCTTATCAATAGCCAAACCTTGTGTAAACAAATAGATAAAGTCAATAATCCTTAAATGTATGGCTCTTATTAAAATTTAAGGACCATATTGTAAAACGTGTAACACGTGCAAAACATGAGTTTTTGTAGAACTGTTAACCCAATAGTCAAGGGTAATTCTTCAATGCAACAATTTGATTTAAGGTTAATTTAACCTCGTTTTAATTTAAAATGTTATTATATTCAACATAAAAAATTATATAAATTTATAACATTTTCGATTATAACTGAAAAGTTACATTGTATGAATTTAAGGTTTACAACTAAAAATATTATGAAAAATATAAAATTTTCGATTGTAACTTGTCCAATTTAAAATATTACTTTTTAATCTTACATCAACCGGTCGTATTTTAAAATTTCCTAAAATTCAAAGTTAGTTAAAAATGATAAAGAATAAGTTAGGTGTCAATATTATATACCGTGAAATTAGTAAATAAGGTATAGTTTAAGATATAATTGTTTTATATGAAATTTCTAGATGACGGAAATTGTGTCAAAACACCAAAACCTTCATTATTTTGCTTCAACCCAAGTTTGAAGGAGAGAGGGAAACCAATTCAATCATCTTCCTTAAGTATCACTTTTAGCCGTTGTTGAACACACCGAGAACAATTGAGAGAAATTTCAGTTAGCTCTAAAATTATTAAATGCAAGGGTAAACCAAGTCTAGATTCTTAAAGCTCAAATCATAATCGATCCATTTGATATGTGCAACCTTGTTTCTAAGCTTTGTAAAGATGAACCATAATCGTCAGATCGAGTTTACTGTTCATGCATGTTTATATATACATATATTATTTTATTATAATTTTTGTATTTAAAAATATCGATTGTATATGGTTTTGTGTTTTAAAAAAATACAAGATTATAGGAAACTATAAAGAGAGGCGAAAATTCAAATTATTGAGTAATTTATCAATTTGAGACGTAGCGTAAACCTGGATTAGATTAGTGTAGTTAAAATTGAATTCATTTTAATATATATGTTTGTTATGTTATTCAACTATGTAGGTGTCTATGTATAAAAGGCATAAAACGTGCTTTTAATTAGGGTTTTAAACGACTCAACTTGAAAACTCTGAAACAAAGCTCGACTCGGTTCGAAACTTGTGAGCCTAAAATTCGAACTCGAAATCATGAATTGAAGCTCAAAAAAGCTAAAAGAAGCTCAAAATAAAAAAAAATCTTAAACTAATCCGGTTAAAGCTCAAGCTCAAACTTAAACCTAAATATGAAATACATTTATACTGTATTTTTTTTTTAAAAAAAATCAACAAATAAATGTTAATATTATTAATAATTTATTTAAAAAAAATAAAATTTAATGTATTATTTTTTCGAGTAACTCGCGAGCTTTTCAAATCAAGTATGAAGTAGCTTGTTTCGACTCGTTAAGAACTCAAGTCGAATATTTATTGAGCTTTGATCGAGTCTATATCGAATAACTCACGATGTAATTTGTCTCATTTACAGCCCAACTTTCAGCTTTATGTTGCCAATTTGGCTAGCATATATAATATTAACAATTAAGGTACATTATTGTACCATTCAATATGTAATTTTAATGTTTTGATATATACGAACATATTAGTATATATAATTTGTTATGTGAGAGTATATTAATTGTCATCATGCGCGAAATTTCATGGGGTCAAGAGGAGTTTGTCCCCCGCCAGTTTTTTTTAAATATTAATTAATATTAAAAAAATAAATAAAGAAAAATTTAGTCAGTCTCCTCAATTAAAAAGATTGTATTTATGAAAAATTAAAAAATACTTTAACCCAACTTAACAAATTCCTAAATCCTTCCTTGATTGTCTTATATCCAAACATATATATATTGCCTATATGTGCTCATTAAGTTCATATAATCTATGATCTTGTGTAAACTTTAATTAGTATGCCATCTAATTTGATATTATGTACACAATTTAAATATGTTAATGAGCATGTAGCACAAAGCTAAATATTTTTCGACGATGCACGTATATTTATAATTGTTCGAATTTAAAATTTTTATCGAAAATAATACTCTTTATAACCATTGAAATTGGTAAATGAATTCTTTTATTCAGTTTTAAATATTAATAGTGAAATATAAGAATATTATAGAATTAAAATAGTATTCTCATATATATATTTTAAATTTGACAATGAATTATGCTCGCCAGCTTATACGTCTACAAAGTTGGCTGGGCTGAGGATTTTGAATTTCTTGAAAAGGTATAGTGATTTCAGAACATTCGTTTTAGTTTTTCTACCAAACTGACTTGAGCATCAAGATGGGTATTTCTATATAAACAAGAAGAAACGAAACCGAAAGAGTACCCAGGAAAGGAACGGAACAAACTGAAGAAAGCATCATTAAAAATGGGTTCCCAGAAACAGGCCTTTATCTTGTTATCGGTGCTTTTGTTTTTCAATTTCCTTCTCTTCTCCGGCGCCGATGACGTTTATTACGAATTCATTGTAAGTTTGTTTTTATAACTTCTTTTGGATTGTTTGTTTCCTTTATCTGATCGATACGGTTTTAATTTGCAGTTGCAAGAAGAAGAGTTTACGAAGCTCTGCAGCACAAAAACCGTCTTGACCGTCAACGGCAGCTTTCCCGGGCCTGAGATTAGGGTCCGAAGAGACGATACTGTTCATGTCAACGTCCGTAATCAAGGAAGATTTGCTGTTTCCATTGTCTGGTATACTATTTCTCTAAATCTCCTTTTTCCGATCCATGCTTGAGTTTAAATTTTCTGATCCGAGTTTATTTGAGATCTTTGTGTGTTATTGTTTATTCTTTCTGGGAAATTCGGTAGGGAGGGCATCCGGGATTCGATTAATGGTGTAAATGAGTTGATTCAGCCTGGAAGAAACTTCACTTACGAGATCGATTTAGACGATGAAATCGGAACTTTATGGTGGCACGCTCGGAGTGCTTGGGCTAAAGCTACCGTTCACGGTGCCTTTGTCATTTTACCGGCCGCCGGTGAAGAATATCCTTTCCCTGCACCTACTTCAGATCATACAATTATACTTGGAGAATGGTTTAGACAAGAGTTGACTGAAGCCGTTGTTCCTGGCCAAGCAGATGCGTACACAATCAATGGCAATCTTGGAGAAACATATGGATGTAACGGTATGCATCTAACACTCACATCCAATTACGAGTAGCATAATTTTGTTCCAGAACGAATGTAGGAGAGGAAAATAAATTATTAAATAAAAAATTAAAAGATATACTTAAAATATATAAATTTTAGAAATTTTAGAGGACTAACAGTTAATTAATCCCTAATTTCGATGTTAAGCTGCCTTTTTAGTAACACAATTCATAATTTCTTGTTTGCACAGACACATCAAATCAGCTACAAGTGGATTACCAGGGTCTCTATCTTCTCCGTTTAATAAATGCTGTTGCCAATGAAACAATGGTCTTCGCCATTGCGCAACACAGCTTGACGATCGTCGGACAAGATGCCTCATATGCCCGACGTTCGTTCTCGAATTCCTTGACATTAGCCCCGGGTCAGACGATCGACATTCTGCTCAGCGCGAACCAAAACGTTGGCCAATACTATATGACCGCTCGGCCTTCCTCCGGTCGACTTAATACCACCGGAATTTTACACTATACCACCAGTAATGGTTTTTAATTTTAACTGTCTGGATTTTCGAGTGCCATTGTCATAGATTTGTTTATCAAATAAGACATTCACTAGGGCAAACCGCTATGTATATTAATATCAATGCCCTATAAATATCCACGCTAGCTGTGGAAATATTCTGTGTTTTTCATTAAAACGTTATCAGTTGTATTTTGTATTGTTCTTTTGGGGTTAATGTTTATTATATATATTTAATGCGATATTTATATTTGAAAATCATTTAACATAACATCATCTCTAACATGATGACTTGAAGAGTGAAATTTTAATTAAATTATAAAATCTTGAAGATTAAGGTGTATATTTTTTATTGGATTAATTTACAATTTTATGAGTTTTTAAATAATTATAAAAACATTTATTATTAATTTAAAAGATCAAGATCTCCGTTTATCTTTAATTCTGTCATTGCATGATATGAAGGTTGTCAAATTTGATTATTTTACAATTTTATGAGATTTTAAAAAATTATAAAACTTTTATTTTTAATTTGAAGGATCAAAATAACCGTTTATCTTTGATTTTATCATTGCATGGGATGATGACTGTCAAATATTTATCTTTAATCTTTAATGTATAAAATACTATTAAATCTATTAGTGGCTTCAATAGTAAAAAATGTAATTCATCTTAAAAGATAAATTTGATAAACTGCGTATGCAGAATATATTTATCTTATTGATATATTAAAAAAATTATGGGCCGTTATCATACCATTTTTTGTGGATTTCAATGATCCGATCCGAAACCTTTGTGCCTTCTTCCAATACACCCTTGAATTTTTCGAATAGACGAACGAGCCCTTTCCTAGAGGAGCAAGTTCAAAAACAACTTCAGGGCAATACAAAGATTGGAATATGAATATAGGTAAGTAACTTAAAACCAAGTGTTAAAGAAAATAGATCTACTCACCTGTCGGGAGATATAGTTTTCTTATGTCCCAGAAAAAGACGATGACCTTCAACATCTTTCGCCATGTTCCCGGGGTATGATGGAATAAATACATCACTTTCAACATATACAATGTAATCAAGAGCAGCCATTTGGGACGAATGGTTGGTGAATGGTACACACTCCTCAACAGAAGCCAATTTTTTCCTTCAAAAACATCACACTATATAAGAGATTACATTCTAACTCCATTTCACCCTTATTGCATATCATTGAACATTAATATAACCTTTTCACCAAGTTTTATATCAAGTTCCAAATGTTCAGAAGTTTCCCAAATATGAGTATCATTTAACATGGGATACCGAAGCCATACTGGTATCACCCCCATATATCTCTCCTGCAGCAATGTAAATAGGGGGTTTTGATGGTAATCCGAGAGCGGTGAGAAAAATTCCGACCTTTTTGGGGTTAAGGGGAAACGTCCTTTGGCTCTCTGTACCCTGGCATCAATGTTTTTCACTTTCCAATGGGCAGTTTTTTGTCTGCACATTCGGAATGAAAGTGGTATAACAAATAGTTGATCTCTTATCCTACATTATCTTTTGGTTCTCTCAACTTCCATTGGACACAGAGAATGCTAGGTAAAGGTTATACCTGATTGTCTTCATCTCTTTAGCTTCAGCATTAGATAAACCATGTGTGCATCCACTAAAGGCAAGCATTATCTTTCTCATATCGTAAATGCGATGTGATGAAACGACCATAAGACCTCATCCGGTCCACCAACAACTGCAATATCAGCAACTTAAAAAGTACGATGGTAAGAGAAAAACATACTGTACGACTCTTGAGACATGATGACATCAAATATCAATCCGATTACTTTTCCCATTGCTTCTATTTGGGGTGCAACACAAAGTTCTTCATAGCAAGCACGACAGCGAAGTTTTTGTATATCTGGAGGCAGACCGTTATTTGCTAGGCGAGAATCGGATTTAGCAAGTGTGGCATTTATAATACGGGCTATAGCTACCATGTCACATATCTGCAACTCAGAAATGAAACTCCAGTCAGCTAAATGATCAAGAAGAACTGATATTCATATTTAAGTACATAGTACAATGGCTAGATTGCCAATATTTTAGTCATTAAACTTGAAAATATGTAACATTGTAAACTTCTATTGTCTCCCCATTTAGCCGTAGGAGATGCATGAATATTGTGCAGACAATAATGTTTTTCTGTTGAAAATCAATGTCTCGATGTCTGTATCTCTAACAGATAACATCACCAATGAAGTAATATGTCACAATAACAGATATATCATATAGCCGGAATGAATATTATCAAGCTAGAAATTATACCCCAGTCCGCATTTGGTAGAGCCCGCCATTTGTACGAACTAGAAGATAACCTCTTGACTGATCAGGAACTGAACAAAAAAATGTCAAATTGAAGAATAAATTTACAAGAATTACGTCCATGCTTTGAAAGAAAACTTTTCGAAGATAACAACTTCTTTACTTGTATAATTAGAACTAGGCCGTATGCAGGGCACAAAATCACGATCTTCAGGCAGCTTCCACAACTTCTCAAAATTTGGATTTCCACTGGCACCAACAAGCTGTTAAATCTAAAGGAGTGAAAACATGGAAGACTAATGACTACTTCGCGTCAATACAAGTTTACATTGCTCCGAATTTTATTTTTATTGAAGTACTCGTATATGACACTCATTTCCAAGACTTGATAATAAGAATATGACCTTTAATATCCCCAAACAGATGAAAAAATTAAAATTCATATACATCGAAAAAACACTAGTTTCGGCGCACATTTGAGTTTGAATAACATAGATAGAAGTATATACTCGACAACAAGCTTGAAATTCTTAAACACCCACCCAAAACGGATTAAGTAGTATTTTAAAATACATAATCAAGTTTCGCATAAATTGACTTACAGAAAACAAGCAGGACACAATGTGAAGAATATAATCTAAGAATAATAATAATTTATTTTTTTCCTTCTTTATATGTTGGAGATGATGTTTCCATAAATGAGGCTGAGCCACATCCTTCGTCCTCCTTTCCTCTGCACTTAACTTCTGGTAATTAAATTCGTGTTACTACAAAATTTCAAAAAAATATTAATTAAATAAATTCCGCATTTGATACCTTAATTAAAAGCAAATATTGCCAAATTGCCGCGAGTGTGAAAGACATGAACAATCAAGCAGGCAACTGAAGAACACAGAAATAAGCCTAAATCAATTATATATATATATATATAGAGAGAGAGAGAGAGAGAGAGACTTTAGTGACTGTAGGGAACTTATAAGGATCAGATAAATCAGAAACACGGGAAGAAGGGAACACGTGTACGCATCCGGAAAGCAGTCCCACCAATGCTATGTTGCATATGGCGCACGCTAGTATTTTCTGTAGCAGAACAACCGCCGCCGACCTCCGCCTCCGTCGCTGCATCATTTTCTTTCCCTGCTAATAAAATAAACCAATCAATAATCATATCATTTAACTATTTAATTGTTATTAATTAAACCACTTGTTATTATTTTTAACGGACAAGATAATGGGACAGTTAAAAATTTTAGCATCATTTCGTATTTGATCACCGTTATTTAAATATTTTATCAATTTAATTTTAATTTTAATAAATCTTCGAATTAGATAATATCATATGTAACTGGTGTCAAATATCATAACAAGTGTCACTTTTAATTTTAATTGGAATATTATATTTAAAATAATAAATATTTTCTATATACACAATGACTTAAAATTTAAAATCATGTCAGAGTAATATTAAGTTACTTACTATTTGGACCAATCTATTTTGATATTATATATATATATATATATATATATCTTTTAATTTTTAATTTAGTCAAATAAAATTATTCACAATTTTAGATTTTTTAAATTAAAATAATTTTTTAATTTTGAAACTGTACATCTTAAGCTTTGTGATTTTAAAAACTGATGTGTTTTACGAATTGTGACTACCTATCATTCATTTTTCAAAATATTTTGGATAAATTAATATCTTGTAATTTATATTTTTTATTTTGATTATAATTATATATGAACATTGTATTTTTTAATTTTATCATCGTTCATTAAATTTTAACAAAAAATAATTAGAAAAGATGATGCATTATAATATAATAATAATTTATCTTTAAATTTTATACATTCTATCAATTTAATTATATTTTAAAATGATTCAATAATTTTAGAATAATATGAATTATTCCAACATGCACAATGAGCAAATCCTCAAGCACAAGGAGCTGGTCGTAATGCATGAGAAGAAAATGATAATACTTGAGAAATAAGAGAACTCTATTAAAAGACTCATTGATATGCTAGAGAAAATGTCAAAAAGGAAAAAAAATTGTTCTTCAACCCTCTCTCAAAATACCATTCTCATACCTTTTTGACGATGATAAGAATGAAAATAATACCAATGGCACTGTCAACGGCAATACGATATTTGATTCTTGAATACTTTAATTGAGATCTTCTAAGTATCACATTATTTTAATAGTATTAAGTAAATATTAAATTATTTTTGATAAATAGTTTGTGAGAGAGTTTTTGGGTATCATATTTCCCTAGTAATATTAATTGGATCGTTCACTTGTTTTTGTTGCTTATTATGTCTTCTGCATTGCTTTTATGATTTTTTAAATGTTGGCGAATGATAATTTTGGATTGCTTTGAAATTTATTGTTTTAAAAAACTGAGTAGTCAAAGCACATTTTCCCTCAATATTTTAGGTTTGGTTTTTATGGAATGTATTTTTTTCTTTTCATCTTATGAAAATTTCGACAAGCCTAGCACACCCACTATAGAATACCTAAGATATACCTCTAATATTATATCAACTCTTTTACCTTGGTTAGCCTTTTATTTTATAAATTTTTAGTGCACAATAATAAATGATATGCCTGATCATATATTATTTAGGCGGCATAGTCGACACTATATCAATTAAGTAGTAGAACCGACTATATATTATTCAGGTGGCAAACCCGACCATATAATAAAACCAACACAAGGACGTTAAGAACTTAAAACAAACTAAGGTTTAACCTGAAAACTTAAGAGATGAGAGAACTTTTATTAATACATAATAAAATTACAATATGACACACTTACTCTACTATATTTTCCTCCTCTACCT